TGAAATTTATGATTTCAGTCTAATAACTATTTAGTCGACACATGTTTAATTTATGTCAATGATGACAGGTATTGATAATTTCGATTCCAAATATCTCGAGAACCATTATTCGTAGCGATTTTTACCAAGAGACATGTTTTACGTAAAAAACTTCGTAAATGTATATTTTTTTACTCAGTAGTTTTATACAGGTACGGACGAAGAGTTATTACTTCTCAAACTAGTTGAAACATATGTAGGTGGCGCCCTCTACAAGTAGCAGTCATATTGACATAAAATTCTCATATAAAAAAACATCCAGGCACCAATTTTCATCTAAATATTGACGTTACTTCATAAATTGTTTGGAAAAAATCGAAATAAAAATGAAACTTTTATACCCTGTATCTCCGAAACTATATAAGCATTTTAGGACATACATTTATACGAACCTTTTTACTTATTTTTATCTGCAGAATATGCTGCCGATGTTTTCGGAATACAGTTCGGACCACCCTGTAGGTATACAGCAAAGCCATAAAACAAATTATCGCCTAAAACATCTAAAACAAACAGAAAACACGTGATTTTCCCTTGTTAAATTTTCAGGGTATCCCAGAAATAAGTGCAAGTATTTTAAAGGGTGGTAGATCTCGATAAAAGAAACATATTTTCTCTGTATCGTTTTTCAAATAAGTCCAAAATAACGGAGTTATTTTATTTTAAAAATTTAAAAAAAAAAATGATTTTTTGCTAAAATTTTGAGAACCACTGGATCTTTTCTGGATTTTCTTTCTTGTAACTTTAATCTACTACCTATGTTGCCATATTATCAAGAAATTATTTTTTTTTAATAAAAACTAAAAAAAATTCCAAAAAAATTTTCAAAAAATTCCGAATTTTCTAAAAAAAATTATTGAGACAAAAACCTCATAGGCGTGTTTCTGGGGTTGAACTATACTACCAGTTAAGTTAAAATACTTGCACTTATTTCTGGGACACCCTGTATATGGGTACATCGTAGCGCCGCGCCGCTCCGCCTCGTGCTTATAACCTTGAAAAATTAAAGCGTGTTATCAAATCGGCTAGTTCACAGTGAAAGCAGGCAGGCACCGTCAACCAGCGTTCATCGGCGTTCTCGCTTTTACCGGAACGAAAATTTATTTATTTCTGCTTTTGGACGAGCCGACGGCGCACAGAGGGTATTAAGAACTAAAAGTTGGCCAAAATTATGTTTTATGATTTTTTTTGCTTTTTTGCTAGTAATATTAATTATTAATTAGAGGAGAGGTTGCTAATATGGAACCCCATTTTGTTTTTCCTACACAATATTTTCTCCTCTACTCTGAAACCCTTTCCACCGATCAAATAGGGCCATTCTGTGCAAAACCAAGCAATTGGATGAGGATGCTAGAACATGGCTAGAACAAGAAAGTAATTTGTATATTATAGACGATATTTGAGCGAGGATGGGTGTTATAGGGTAAATACTATTTCTTTTAAGAATCTATTTAAATCAATGTTTTTTTGGCAGTGGCAAATATTGGCAAGATTTTTGTACATATTCCAAAGCTGGAGACTTTAAGCATTGAACGGATACTAATTTCCATGCGGAATATTGCCGAATAGTCTTACACCTTATAAAAATGCCTCTGATTTTTTAAATATAAAACATTATAAAGAAATAGAATAGAAGGAAACGTTTCAAAAGAAAAATATGGCATAAAACAGGACTTGCCAGCTGGCTCTGTATCCATGATGGCAGTTATTATAAACAATTTGCAAAAAAGCACTACAAACAATTCCACTATTTTATAATCTTAGAAATATTCAGAATACACTCAAGATAATTCATACTTATAATTGAAATATATTATTTATTTGATAGTCAACTAACAACTTAAAAAAACTAATAAACGCGCTTACATTTAGTATTTATAGATTTGTATTCAGTTAAGATAAAAAATGAAAATAAAAATATTTCACTTTTGGCCAGGTTTATAGACCAAATACCCCTATGTGCGGGAGCGGCGTTTGGATATGGTTAGGTTAGTTAATCAGGTAAATTTCCTCTTAATTAACTACTTCCGAACCCTGCTCGCATCTCCGAAAAAGCCATATAACAATACACGGCATATACGCAAAGTTACGCATAACGTGTATTGTTATATGGCTTTTTCGGAGATGCGAGATGTGAGCGATATGTGGTCAAGAATAGGTCCCCAGAGACGGCGCTGGTTGCCGGAAAGCAGAAACCTGCCTCCACTATGTTCGTACCCATACATTTATACGAACCTTTTTACTTATTTTTATCTGCAGAATATGCTGCCGAAGTTTTCGGAATACAGTTCGGACCACCCTGTAGGTATACAGCAAAGCCATAAAACAAATTATCGCCTAAAACATCTAAAACAAACAGAAAACACGTGATTTTCCCTTGTTAAATTTTCCCATCTATAAATTATGGCCAGTTCACACCTTAACCTTACGTTTTTCGCCACATTATTTTACCAAGCAAGGGTAATTCTATTCGAATGGGGGGTAAGAAGGCTTGGCACGCCCCTCTATCAGGAAATTAATATGTTCAGAAGGAAGCGGACTGTGTGTTTTTCCATTATGTCCGTGTCAAGTTGGGGTTTAGACGCCAGTTTTCCAGTGAATTATTGGAATACTTCCTGTTTTCCTTGGATTTTTCGATGTAGTTATATCAGAGATATAGGAATATTTCATTATTTGTAGGAAATTTTATGTGGATTTAGAATTTTGCAGGAAAGTGTTTTTTATCCAAAAAGGCCCGTCTCGTTTTTTCCACAGGGCCTTTTGAATTTATTGCAAAAAACAACGGTTCGATTTACCCCGGTATAAATAATAAAAAATAATGCCAATAAATTTATCTTCATACTGATACCATAATCATAAAATTCGGATTACAGAATAAAAAGTTAGGGAGCTGGGGAGTAGATATTTGGTTACTCTTTTTAAATAAATGCCTTTATTGTCAAAACATTTTTCAATTTGTAGACAAAAGTAAACTAAACAAACAAAGTAAACAAACAAGGTACACAAACAAACATTACACAAATAATATTGTCAGTCTTATTGTTTAAAATAAACATTTAGAAATGCTTACAATGTCAAAGAACAAAAAAATAAAAATAATATTCAAAAATATTTAGATAGTTAATAGTAAATATCAATTACCTCTATATAAATTTATTTCGATGTCATTAGTAAATATAGCAAATAGCAAACATTAGACCAGTGTGTACAAGATCAAATACGATTTTCAAAATATAATTCATTTACGGCGTAGAAAGAATTAGAGTTCAATGCTTTGCGAAATGAGGAAAATGATGTTATAGATTTGATTTCAAATGGCAGGTAATTGTGCATTTTTTTCGAGTTGTATAATATTGAACTTTTAACTAACTCTGAGCGTGGGTAGGTAGATAAAGATCTTGCTCCGCGTTCCTGAGTGGATAAGTGTGAGATGGCCTTTCTTGAGAAGCTGATACATGCTTACGTATTAGGCAAACGGATTGAAATATAAATAAGGAAGGAAGAGTTAATATTTTTAATTTTTTAAAAAGGTCCTGGCAATGAGTTCTGCTGTTTAGTCCCAGTGAATATCGAACAGCTCTCTTCTGGAGCTTGAAAATGCGGTCAAATTGAGTCGCACAGCACGTACCCCAGAATGGAAGGGCATACCTGAGGTGCGATTCAAAAAATGCATAATAAACAGTTCTAGCCACTGACAAGTTCAGTTCCTTAGAAACAGATCTTTATGCAAAACATGCAGAGCTCAATTTTTTCTCGACAAACTTATATATTTACAAACTTCGACCTTACTTATATTATTATAGTACTTTAGTACTATATTATCATTGATACTCTATTAATGTAATTTTTCTTCAAGGAATAACGTAGTACGAGAATATGTAAATTCTTGTAACATTGTAATATCAATAAATTATATCACGTAAACCAATTTGAAAAAAAAACATCCACGAACATTTTCGTCTGGCTTTCTTTTAGTTCTCTCCTCGGGCATCTGAATACCTTGTTTGCGAGTTAGAAAACGGCATAAACTCCGGGGGAAACTCGGCGGAAAAACTTTAGAAAAGTGCGGCTTTGCGGAAAATCGTACACGTTTCCCTCGCGGTGGAAAACCAGAACAAATTGGATTACGAATATCGACATGTCCCTATCTAAATTACCCCAGAGATTTCCCATAACAAACAGTGTATACGAGCGCTCTACCAGCATTTTTAAAATTCATGATTATTCAGTGCAACGTGTTGTTTGGTGTCTAGCAAAAGTACCACGCGAACGAAAAAAAGGCGTCGTGGACGGCAAAGAATGACAATCGCTGATAATTTTGACGAGATCAAGCCAAAATGATTTTTTAATGGTGTAGTTTAAAATTTGAGAAAATGGTTATTTTTTATACTAGACGATAATGCAATTTTATCGTCGTGTTACGTTTTGAAAAATATTCAGAAATTGATCAAAAAATCAGCAAAATGCTCACAAAAGATGAGGCTACAATGTGATTTGATTTAGCAATAGCTACTACAGCTGCTGCATCCTACAGGGTGTTACAAAGTTCGGGCAAAAAACTTCGTCTTATTGTTGTGCCCTGTATATGCTCAAAATAAATTCTGAATAAAATATTTTGAATTAGTTTTGTGAAAATAATTGCAAAATTTTTTTTTAAAAAATAATAAAATTTCATTAAAAAAGATACGAGGTCCTGCTTTGGGTCCTTCGAAGAATCTTCGAGATTTGTAGTTAGAACGCTTCTTATAATTTTTTTCCTTTTCATGTGTTACATTACATTTAATGTAGACATGTAGTATTTGAGGTGTGTATCATGTAGCCATCGACTCCCAGCCTCTCCTCTGGTCAACCACCGACTCCTGCTGGTCTTCCTTCACCGCAAACCGCGGTTAAACAGAATCTCCACCGCCGTCGGTAGTGATATAGCGCCAAGCGGTCCGCAGTTCAGCGCGACGCCTCGCTACGCCAACAGCAGCACGTCGCGACGCCTTGCTAACCGACGCCGGCCGTCGCGCGCGGGGTTTTAACCAGAATATCCGACGCCGGTGCTTGACGCGAATAAGTTTGTCGTAGGTTCGGACAAAAGACGTTTAATTTTATTAGAAACGATGATGTTTTTCAATTGGTTGTGAGGATTGGGAGTGTTTTTTTGTGATTTTTTTAGTCTGGACAATGTTTGAGTAATTTGCTGAAGATATTGTATAGGTATGACCTTTTTTTCGAGCTTGGAAAGTTAATTGTTTTAATAGTGGAGGGTTTAAAAGTACAAAAAGATTTATTTACCTTTACGAAAAATTTTATCTCGACTCAGAAGTTGGAAAAAAAATTCTGTCAAAGAAATTTGCCATGGTTTTTCAAATATTAGTTACCTACATTAGTTACTAAAGTATAAAAAATCAATGTCAGGAGTTTTAAGTGTCTATAAGCTTAAAATTTACAGTTCATACGAAATAAACTTTTAGTCGCCTGATTAAGCTTGATCGGCACAGCGTTGCCCACTTTAAAACAAAAATAAATCTATACTAATACATAAAATCCTTAAGTGACTGATATACTGATTAATCACGATCCTGCTCAAACCACTCAACGTAAGAAGCTCAATTTTGGCATACAGGTTGATTCTAGGGTGTAGAGATTCGATAAGAAGGGATTTTTCGAAATTCCAGTTCCAAACCACCCCTCAAATATTACAATATTTTTTATTTAAAAAACGGTCAAGTTTCCGAAAAAACGCTTAAACACGTATATTTTGTTTTGTTTTTTTACATATTTTAAGAATTTTTAAAAATGTATACAGGGTGTTTCGAAAAATCTGGTCATTGATTATCCTGCTTAAAGCGCTTGACGTGAAAAGCTGATTTTTGGAAAACAGATTGACTTTAGAGTGTAGAGGTTCGATAAGAAAGGATTTTTCGAAACTCGAATTCTAAGGGGGTGAAACTATCCCTAAAATATTAAAATATTTTTCATTTAAAAACCGGTGAGTTTTTCGGAAAAACTCTTAAACACGTATATTTTATTTTGTTGTTTTACATATTTTAAGATTTTTTATAAATTTATACAGGGTGTTTCATAAAATATGACCATTGAGTAGTCACGATTCTGCTTAAACTGCTTTTTGTGCTCCATCTGTTGTTTGTTCTTCTTGCCAGGTTACTTGCTCATTGCCACTTGAGAGATTTGACTCTGTGGATGACATCTTTAACCTGGGTTTTTTGTCGTATACACTCTCTTCTTTTACAGTCTTTCTTGGTTATTCTATTGAGCGTTGAATGACCTATACTTTCCTTATAATGTCCGTTTTAAGTGCCCATATACTTTTTTAATATACTACAAGTTAAATACAAGCTGAGTGCACCAGAAATCTAAAATAGTTTTTGACTGTGGAGAACGGCAAACAGGGCAATAATTACACACACCGGAAAAATCTAGGGATATCATTTTATTAAAGGTAAAAATAAATGTTTTGAATAAACAACCACATATTTGTAGGCCGATTCTTTCTACTTCGATTGAAACGAAGTAGTCACACTAGTTATTTCTAAATTTGGGATATTTGCAGAAGTGTTTGTGCATTTTTTGTCAAATGTATAAAAAACACCTAGCATCAGCTTTTCGGGAAAACGCTTGGACAAGCATAATTTATTTGGTGTTTTTACATATTTTGAAATTTTTTAAAAAATCATACAGGGTGTTCCAAAAAGTTGGGTAATTTCTTAACCACAAATTTGCTTAAAAAAAAAATGTTTGACGTAAAAAGCTTATTTTTGGCAAACGGATTTTTCGAAAGTGAAATTCCAACGAGATGAAACTACCCCTCAAATATTACCAAGTTATATAATAATATCGCCATATGGTTTTTTCCTCATGCTGACATAAATGCGAGAAAATTTTATCCAGTTTGTATGTTAATGGAAATTCTTGCTTTGCTTTATCATCACCATTACAAATGATTAATTCGACGCGAACGAAGTCGCTGGTACACGCTAGTTAATTATAAATATATAAACAGTTATTGTTTATATCAACAAAACTCACATTCTTAACAGCACTTAAAGGACATAAAGGGTTATTACTACCGTTTTCCCGTTGAAAATATCCTAATAAAGTTGCAACGAGTTTTTTACGGCTATTAAGCTATCTTGTACATTATCGCGCACTAAAAGAGGTTCTAAAAAGAACAACAGTAAGGTCTGCTAGTAAAAATTTTTAAAGTTAAAGTATGACAACATTATTTATTATAACCAAAAACTCGTAATACAAAACTAAAATGTCAAAACAAATGACAATGTCGACACATGACTAAAATATGACTAAAATATGCCGTATTCATGAAGCCGGAAGGCAGAAACACTAAATGTCCACGGGTAGTCATATTTTAGTCATGTTTTCATGGCTAATCTTACTGTAGGTTTTGCCCTATAATTTCGTTTTTCTTTCAAAAAGGAAAATATACATAAAATTAGTGGCAGGTTCTCAATTAATTCTAAATTCCTCTGCAAAAATAATATTATCCTGCAATATCTGAAGACAATAAATAGACTAGACTAAATAGAGTTTTAAGACGGAATTTTTAACTATTCTTTTTTTAATAAAATAAGATCCTTTTTTCCATAGCAATTACTGTTAAAATTGCCTTATATCTATCAAAAATAGTAGATAAAATAGTACTTTAACCGCAAAGGGAGATTAAATGGTACTTTAACAGCGAGGATAGGTTAAAAACTTTATTTCTTCTCGCACGTTTTTTAATTGCTTCCATTTTTGAAAATTTTTGTATTTCTTTTCATAAGTTATTCGGGATTTAAATGGAAGTAGTTTGGATATGGCGTTTGTCGCCTCAGCCTGAATATCTGTTGGTAATTTACTTATTTCGTTTTGAGCCATTTCTGGCTCCAATTCAATCAGCAATCGACACGAAAGAGAATGAAAAAATATTGACTCAAAACTGACAACTAAAGAGACAGCTTTATTTATTTGTCCAATTACATAGAATAGTAATAAAATACGACGTAATAAGAACGTAATAAATTCCTTCAAATAATAATTTCTGAATATTTTTTAAAACGTAACTCGCTATGGAAAAAAATATTGTTTTATACACGACGATAAAATTGCATTTTATCGTCTTGTGTAAAAAATAACTATTAATATGCAGTCTTACATTACATTGACGATTTGGTGGCCCAAAAAAGACCTACAATACACAATCAATATATCCGAAATCATAAAAATATTGTGTCATCACATTTCGATACGTAGGTATATATTCCCAAAAGAATCATGCCTCTTTCTTATTTTTCCTACAATACCTCCCATACAAAATAAAGTCACAAAATACGACTTATATTCAGAAAATCAAAAGGATTCCGTCTTCAATTTATAAAAATATCCCAGCCATTCGGATTCGATATATTTATGTACGTGGAATCTCTACAAAAAAAGCTATATTACTTTTTGTATTATACATGAATGCTCAATGGCCGTTTCTTGGATACACCTCTATCGATTTCTTGATGACGAATATATATGGCGCTTCTTTGAAAACTGCAATTATTTTAACTTGTATTTAGATGAGGTTTCTTTTGATGTACACACACCGGAAAAGTCTAGGGATATTACAATTTATCCAGCCATCGTCAGTAATTTTATTATTTGCATTTCTGATATAATAAAATTAAAATAAACAAATAGTTTACAGGACGTATTGGAAATAAAAATGCGAAATTTACCGAATTTTTCAAATTTACCTTGATTTTTATTGAACAAAAAAATACACACATTTTTTTTTATTCTAAACTGTGAATTAAAAAAAAAGATAACACAGCCCTACATCGTCTCTCCGTGCTCCTGATCAGGTTGTCGATCTCTTCTTGAGGTACAGCCTGCCAAGCTGCATTCACGGCCCGAACCAGATCCCTACGAGTTTCACGAGGCATACCCATTCTCAAAATTCTTCTTTGGACCGCGTCCCATACGTGCCCGATGGGGTTGAGGTCAGGAGATTGTGCCGGCCAGGGTAAGATGTTTAATTGATGAGCATTGATAAACTCACTTACCACTCTGGCTGTATGAGGCCGTGCATTGTCATGCATGAGAATGACGTTTCTCCCAAAATTATTGGCATATGGTAACACGACAGGCTCAAGAATTAAATCACGATATGTGATTCCTGTTAGAAACCTTTCAAGAAAAACGAGATCGGTTTTTCGGACTAACTGGACTCCTCCGCAGACCATAACTGTTCCACATTAATAAGGGTGCACTTCCTGAACATGATCCAACCGAATAAGATTTCTCGGGTCTCTCCATGCCCTAAGCCTTCTCGAATCCGGATGAATTGATAGGAAAAGCGTGACTCATCTGTGAAGAGAACATTGGCCCCGAGGGGTGTCTCACTATTGGAATTACCTGTACATTTTCTTGGCAGTCGCTGGCAGTCATTGGCAGTCTTATGGCAGTCGCCTATAATAATTACATGGCAGTCATAGGCAGTCTTCTTCATAGTCATTGGCAGTCGCTTAGCAGTGGAACGATATTTTGGCAGTACGTGTACATTTTCTACCCGAGTGATACACCCCTCGATTGGCCCATTGTTCATTCGACAACTGAACATGATCTTGAGCCCACAAATATCGTACCTCTCGATTTCCTCTCGTTAAGGGTTGAGCTCTCCAGGGGCGTCTGCTTCTTAAGTTAACTCTAAATTTACTGTTTTTTGAATAACTAGGTATATATTTTATACAATAAATCCCATACTCTCTTTTTGTTAGAATTTCAAACACGAAAGACAATATTTAACTTTCGTTGAGTGTTTTTAAGCTTAGGGAGTGTGAAAAAACAAAAAACAAATCCGTCTTTCGACGAAATATCAAGTAGACACTTCTTCGTTTTTGCATCTGGAACATCAAAAGAAAAGCGTAATGGATTATTTTTATTTTTAGACGGCTTATGTCTCGCATGCCGGGAAAACTCCGACTTTGAGACATCTAATACTAGTGTTGAATTTTCCGGGGATTTAAATCTAAAAATGAATTCTTTATGGTTATTAAATAAAAGTTTTGTTGATATAGACACTGAGTAATCTTGGATTAATGTGTAATAATATTTTTTTATTAAATATGTACTAACACACGTGCTTTGATTAAGACTTGATTATACGGTTTGCAGAGCTTCAGCATTTGCCATAAAATAGCGAGCAATTT